GATCTTAAACATTTTAGACATTCCCAGTAACAGGTTTGGAGATTGAAAGAAAGTTTCTTAAAGCATACAAGAGCAAAAGAAATTTCAATAAATCGTACTGGAGGAAATCATGAATTGTCTTTCTATTCTCTATATTATATAAACATAATAATAATGACAATAAATAATATTTACCAATATAATATCAATATTTATTAATAATGGCAATTATTCTTATAAGAAGAGGCAATGCAACAGTATCAGCCATAAATATGGGGAGCCTGTGTTATGCAGGTGCGCCAGACAGGCATGGTGTACTACTGACCAAAATAGTCTGTCATTTTCCTGTATTTTCTTATATTTTAGTTTAGAGCATTTTAGCTTTTGTAACTTGATGGGATGTGTTTTACCATTTCAGAAAAATTCATATGTGTGCCACATTTTGTATTTTCTTTCTGAAGGACTGATCTCAACATTTGTATAAACATCAGGCTCCACAAAATTGGGTCTGCCCCTGCCACGGGTTCCAGGCGAGCGAGAGGGAACCAGCCCTTATCCCCCACTCACCCCTGACTCTTCACATATTGCCAAGAAGATTGTCTTGTGCAAGCAAAGGACTAAAGAAATCAGGGCTCCCACCATGTGTCCCCACAATTCACATCACTGAGTGGCCTAGCAAAACTCAAACTGAGGTTTCCAAAAAGAGAAGAAACTACAAGCGTTGGCAAGGATGTAGAGAAAGCACAACTCTCTTGCATGTTGGTAGAAATATAAATTGGTGCAGCCACTATGTAAATCAGTATGGCAGTTCCTCAAAAATTCAAAATAGAGATCCCATATGATCCAGCAATTCTACTTCTGGGTATTTATTCAGAAGAAATGAAAACACTAACTTGAAAAATGATATGCACCCCCGTGTTCATTGCAGGATTATTTACAATAGCCAAGATATGGAGGCCACCTAGAGGGCCTGGACAAATGAATGGATGAGGAAAATGTGGTACACGTACAAGGGAATATTATTCAGCCATAAAAAAGAGGCAATCCCACCACTTGCAACAACATGGACAGACCATGAGAGCATTATGCTAAGTGCAATAAGTCAGACAGAGAAAGACAAATACTGTTTGATCTCACTTCCATGCGGAAAGTTAAAAAAAAATAGAATTCATAGGTACAGAGAACATATTAATGATTGCCAGCAGTAGCAGATGGGCAAAAAGCACAAAGTTACAGTTATAAAATAATTAACTCATGGGGACGTAATGTATAGTTTGATGAATATAATTAATAATATTAGTTAATAATACTATTAATTTAATAATATAGTTAATAATACTTTTTGTATATTGGAAAATTGCTAAGAGAGAAAATTGTTAAAAATTCTGATTGCAAGAAAAAAATGAGTCAATATATTGTGGTGATGGACATTAATTTGACATATTTTGCTGACACTTCACAATGTATACATGTATCAAATCATTATAATGGACACCTGACAGTAACATAATGTGACATGTCAATCATATCTCAGTAAAATATATACATAAGAAAACAACACAACAAGAAACGCAAAAAACAAAAAACCTCAAGCTGGGCACTTAGACTAGAGTGATGCAAGGCCTCCTGGCAGAGTTCCCTGTGTTCCACTAGTGTTTCAGCATCTGCATAACAAACCCCTTGTATTACATTCCCACTGCTGAAATCCATGGTGTGGCTTCTATTGTCATGACTGGTCCTTCACTGATTAAATCACAAAAGATGAAAAACGTGAGCATTGGGTGATTTCAAATGTCTTCCTAGTAAAACCCACAGCCAAGTAGGAATAAAGGGTGTCTTCAGCCAACAGCATACCTAAACCAGTCGCATCAGGTCCTAGTCTAGAAAGGCAACAACTATAAGTAAAAGGTATGCATACTGAAAAAAAAACCCACAGCGGTCTTTCTTCATAAATGATTATATATATTAAAAAATCCAAAAGTATATACAGATGCATTTGGAGGCTTAATAAGAGAGTTAGCGAGATATCAAGAGACAAAATCAAATTACAAAAATCAAATGCATTTCTATATCACAGTAAGAAACAAAAATTGGACGTTATAAAAGATGCCATTGACAATAGAATACAAAAATTTTATATACCTGGAACATGTCTCCTTCTTTAGAGATGTACATCACAAAAGTATAATGTGCACTTTCTCAATAAAGGAAATTATAAACCTGTATTGAAGGACATTAAAGATGCAAATAAATTGAAAAATGTGCATGTTAATGGGTTTGAAAACAGTATTAGATAAATGTTAATTCTATCCTAATTAATCTGCAGAAAAAGCAATATGTCACCCAATCTCCCAAATGACTTTTGCGGAACTCAACTATTATACAATTTACATTGAAGTAGAAATTTCCAAGGAAAGCCACAGCAATCATGAAGAACACTGTGAGGACGGGCTCTGTAAGATATCAAGATGTGTTACAACGTTACAGAGAATAAGTACAGTGCCGTACTGACACAGGGATAGGCCACAGGTACAGAATAGGGGCACCCAGAAATACTGTAGACCTCAACACAGGAAACATCATGCACCATAGAGGAGGTGATACAAAGAAGTGACAAAAAGATAGACATTTCAATAATATGTGTGGGCCACAAGGGACCCGAAATTGCATCCCTCGCACACAGGATGCACTAAAATCAAGGGCGGATGGATTGAGGACCTATTGCTTTACGTGAGATGAAACAACAGAGCTATTAGAAGACGCTTTCACAGGATAGCTCCATGAACTTAAGGTAGGGAAGGTTTCCTGAACAAGACATAAATAGCACTATTTATAAAGAGAAACCGTGAAAATACGGCCTATGTTACAATTGAAGACTCTTCATAAAACACCAAAGCAGGACCCAATCATCAGCCTTCAAGTACAAGAAGATGTTTACAACACAATAAGCATCAAAGTATCAGTCTCCAGAAGACAAGAAGAATTTCTATAAACACATAAGAAAGAGAAATTAGAGAAAATCACTTGAGCAGGCGCCTGCCTCATAAAGGACAGCATATGATGAGCCAGTAAACAAATACAAAGCGGCTTCGCAGCATTTGCAACCAGGAAAGTGCACATTAAATCCATAGCAAGATACTATTATACTTGCTCCAAGGTGGCCAATATTAAAGTGACTGAAAACACCGAGTGTTAGTGCAAGTGTGGGACAATGGTTGTTGAAATACAAATGGGTACAAGCACTTCAGANGGTGCCTGGGCCCCAGGGGGTGGGGACCCAGAGTGTGACCCTGAGAGGGACCCATGCCTCAGGGCCTGAGCTCACCCCAGGTCCTGTGTCTCTTCCCACCACCCACCCTTAGGCCAGGACAGGGAGTGTTCCTGTCTCCTGTTCCTGTCCTAAGATGGGGGCCCCCTGCCCCAGGTCCTCTTCTGGCCCCTGCCATACCTGTCACCTGCAAATTCAGCTTCTTATCTCCATAATTATATTTCACACTATATCCTCTCTCCACTCGGAAGAAGTAGCTTCCTGTGTCGCTCATCCTGGCGTCGCTGATGTTCAGGGAACAGCTGTTGGTCGTCGGGTCCTCAAGGAGGCGGAATCGGCCCGAGGTCTCAGGCCTCGTTGTTGCACGCGGTTTGTTTGTGGCCACAGGATAACCTTGGTGTATGTTGTCCCCACTCCAGTACCAGTAGATATAGAGTTCAGTGCGGGAAGACCATGAACTCCAGGGGTAGGAGAAGGAGCAGGGCACATGGACACACAGACCCTCCTGTACTGTCACGTCTTCCTTCAATCTGAGCTCGTACCCTGGCGTCTCCTGCAGGGAACCTGGGGGGACAGAGCCTCAGCTGCAGCTCCAACCCCTCCCCAACCTGTGTGGGTCCCCCAGCACTTGGCCACTCACCTCCCCACAGCAGGGGCAGCAGCAGCAGGGGCACCATGTCCGCATCTGACAGCCAGAGCCTGGGTCCGGTTCCCTCTGTAGGGAAGGAAATGCCTACAGTGTGGTGGGGTGGGGCTGAGGACGCCCCAGCAGGAAGCTCGGGCTGAGAGTCTGAGGCCAAGCCTGGAAGGGGAACTTAGACTCCTTTGCCTTATGGGTGAGCTTGGGGCTGAGAAATCACCCTGTCCCACCCTCTCCCCCCGGCCCCACCCAACCCCGCAGGTGGATATACCGAGGTCCTGGGAGTTGGAGAGGCTTGTGCCGATGTGAACCTGGAAGTGATCATCTTCCACATCATGTTTAAGTCAAGAGGGGGTTCATTGAGGGTGGCCAGCGCGGTTGGAAGAAACAGGACTGGTCCTGGTGACTCAGGGGGACCCACCCTCCAGCTGAACCACTAAATGTTTTGGGAAAATAACAATTTTAAATTTTCTGAAGATCGTCCAAGTATTGTCAAGAAACGGGGGCTTTAGGCTCAACCCCATTGGACGGCGGGACTCGGGGAAAGCTGTGCAGTGAAGCCCCTTTGCTCTGAGAGGTTCTGGGGACGTGAGACGCACGAGTGTTGGTCTTCTTGAGTCCAGGGTCAGTGGGACAGCGATGGAGCACAGGCCTGCGCCACAGGGGATGTGGAAGGGGAGACACTCGCCCCATTCCGCGGGGACTCCAAAGGCTAGACCTCAGCACAGAAGCAC